TCTCAGTCATGTCTGTGAAGCCATCAAAATCTACACTTATATGGCAACAATTGCTTAAATGAAAGTAAAATACGATCATCCCAGTATTGATAGAGAGAGAGACAGAGACAATGAGATGGATAGCGATAGAGATAGAGATAGAGAGAGTACATCCGAATAATTTCTTTTTTTCTTGGACTTTTCATGTACGGCCATTACCCCGTGGTCATAAGAAACATTTTATTATCTATAATCAAACATCGGCTTGTTGTTTGTTATCAAAAGAAGAAAATTAGCCGCCCAACACAATCTTGACACTCCCAGCTATTGCCAGTGGCAATATGTCTTCGAATATCCGAAAATATGATTAAACATCTTAATATAAGGATATATACTATTCATTCGGATCATTAAAAGAACACAAACTCTCCTCATCAACTCATAAAAAGACATTTTCATTACTTTCCTCTTCTGTCAGTCTCTATCTTCCTTACAAGGCCCTCATATATGCATCCTAGCTAAATTAACTTTTCACATATTGTAATTGTCTCTTTTATCAATCATCAACGATACTTATGAAGAGGAGAGAAGAATATTTATTCTTCACACATGAACCTGCTCTCCAACAACTCTCACAAGTACCTTCACTTACCTCCCACCACCCTTTGCTCCAATCTCACCCTGTACCATTCAAACTACAACTCATCTCTCATACTCGCACCCTCTCTCTTCTCCTCTTCCTGCTGTCTAATTCTTTCTCTACTGTCTTCTGTACAATGTGATTTCCTCCTTTCGTCTAACCTCTTTTACTAATTATTTATTTTATGTCTATTTTACATTTCTTATAATCCAACATACCGTATTTGGGGGGTAAATAAACATGAACTTTGACAATGTTATCCATCTACCTATACATAACATACCTTCACATTCACTTTTATAACACATCTTATCTATAAAGACCTTCATTTGAACTTAAGCCTCATCAAAAAGCTTTGCAAAAACAGTTTTTATAACTCTTGCCATCATTTCTCAGTTCTGTTTTCTTATTTTTCATATTTTCCTTCTCACCGTTATCTACCATGCTATAACAGTAATTTCCTGCTCATTCTATCGTTTTCCGATTAATTTCCTCAAAAACTTTTGAAATTTCATTCACATTCAATTATTGGTATATTTCCCTTCTAATATAAACCAACATATGCTTTGTCAGGTTATATTGAAAGTCAGCTGGCTTATTGTTACCACAGCTCCTGGGAAACTGAAGGTAGATGAAATAGAAATCCCATACCCTTGTGATTATGGTTTTCTCATCTAATTCTCAATAATTTTTTATATTTTTCTAATTAAGTTATCATTTCAGTTATAATTGTTAGAATCTTTCATATCGTATCATATCATATCGTTCGCCGTACAATACAAAACTAAAAGCAATTTAATCCGCATTTGAATATTGCCCACGTTAATGCATATCACGTCATATGAACGTGGGAAATTTATGTGGCTGTGATTCATTTCTCATTCTTGCACACATTCAGAGCGGTTGGTCTCTATCATTAATCATCTCTTTAATATTGGTATTGATAGTTTGTCTGTCCTTAAACCTACGTTTAACTTAGAGTATCGGTTGCTTGATAACCGTTGACCCGTAAAGTTCGCTTCCTTTTTTGTTTTCTTACTGTTTGTCTCAACCTCCATCATTCCCATATACTCTCTTACTGTTCTGATCATATGCGTTTCCTTTTGATTGTTTCGGCTCGAAGTCTTGTTTTTTTTATAGATCTTCTGTTTCTTCAGCATGCTCGTCTGTTCAACCTATGCTCCGTATATACGGCAAGACGTTTTGAGGTCGTAGGCTATAAATCCTTTGAACTCATAACCTGCCGGCCGGTTAGAAAACAAACGACCAAACTGAGATTCTAGACTCTAAGCTATTTTCGAAAAGAATTAAGATCTTTCCTCTTTCTTTTTTTAGTTTTCTTTAAGCACTTCCAGAATTACGTTTCTTATTCTCTATAACAACAGAATTAGTTCGACAACCAATGAATATGCTTGTATGTTTCCATTCTATCTCTCAGTCTCCTTCTCTCTGTCTTCTCATGGTTTCATGAGATCACAGACTCTTACTAATTAGATTCTGCTGAAGTAAGAATATTAGTTTCATCTTAATATGCCCTTTTTTGAAATTCAGTTTATGGCGTTGATGTGTTTGACTAGCTTCCTGCTCTCATGATCTCTTAGCCTCTAATTCTCAGCCAATCTCTCTCTTATTCCTTTATTTTCAAATTTATTCTACCCACCATGCCAAATAAGCACTCGGAACTCAAACATCTCTTTTTCAAATTTCATAGCTTTTTAATATATTCTTCTCACAATCTCCAAAGTATACGAGGAAATGAGATGATCATCAGCACGGCTTTGGCTATCAAATCCAAACAAAAAAAGTTTTGATGATCATTTAGCGCCAAAATGTGCCGATAGATTCCAAAAAAAGGGGATTTTGAATACGAATGTATTTGAATCTCTTATTTATAATATATAATAAGCCTTATTAGGATTGAATGTCTCAATATAGTATAGAGCGCGTAATTAGTTCAATCAGGATGAAGCATCTCTATTAAGGCAATGCTTCATATGTCATCCTAACGCAATACACTTACTCCTAAGGTACAATGTAGACGTTTCGCAACAAATGAGTGATGTTTTAGTCAAATAGTGCTATTTACAACCTCATTGACAGTCATATACATGACCTTTACAATTATTTGATAATCCATAACGCCCTACAAAAACATTTTTGCCAAAAGCAATATCAACATCCATCCGAATGGCATACGAATTTAGCTGTTGGTCATATGAACATATTGTTAACACTATTGTTTATAACCTTTTATAATCTCATAATTTTATGCTTATTAAGCATATTTAAGGCTGATAATGCTTGAGGTAAAATCACAGTTCATCGTTAGCTCCGCCCTATTCAAACTACGAAATACGGGGTGGTTATTCGAACTCTCATAACAGCTCATAACCATCTGAGTAGCGCTGTGTATTAAGGTGCCTCTTTCTATCTCTGATAAATCAATTCTTATATATCATTGTTTTATGCGCATGTCTTGCTCGTTGTTTCCATTTCTTTGTTATTAAACATCCTACGTGTATTGAGATGCTGAAGATGTTTTGTGAATGTCTGTCTTGCGAACGAAATGCTATTGTATTCTTGAAATATTCTTATATTAGAACAAAAGATTTTGAATGAGAAGTCATCTGAAACTTCCCAGGACATATCATATTTATTTCCCAGCTGACTGGTTCTATTTGGACCATTCAATGAGTCAATTGATCCTTTGGGCTTTAAAGACAGTCTGTAGCTATGGATGAGATGAAGAGAGCCTCGTGAATTTCTCTTTGAAGTTCTGCTTATTAAGATAGTTTTATTTGTTATTTGATATGTAATAGTCATTTTAGCTTTATCTGACCTTTGTTGGGGGGTGAGGGAGAAAGAGAGGGAGGGGTTCCTCTGATTGACCCAACGAAGCCTTATCGACACACGAGGCTTCACTTTATTCCCATGAAATGAGTACAAAAAGACTCATAATTTTTTCATTTTTAGCAATTTTTCTTGACTTTTCCTATTCCACCCAACTTTGCCTCGTTGACGTAGCCATTGTTTCCTATTTGAGTTCTTCCATATCCATATAAGACCCTGAGTTGGCGCTTTCCTTCTTCTTTGTTTCCGCTCACTTGCGATCATGCAAAAAGACATTTTCTTTGAAAATTCCTTCTCTACTCTACGTGTTTTATTTTAAAACCTCTCTTTTACGTCATTCATCTGATTTCTCATGAACATCAAGGAGAGCATTGAGGACTTTTTGTCTTGTGAGGTCTGAAGCTTCAACTTAGATCTGAAGAACTTTCCATAAGTACGTGTGACAATCTTTTTTGCTCTCTCATATCCTCACTCTACGTCATTCGATGATTATGTTTTTGGAATTCGACTCGGAAAAGAGATATTTGTCACCCATATGTATACTTTTTCTGTACATTTTCCGCCAAGAAACAATAAATGATTGAATCAATTCAGCCCATCTGGATCATATTTTTCATTTTCTGATCCTCTCCTCTGTTTCTCACCTTTCCTCTCATGCTTACCCAGCTGGCTTCATCCTCTCGTTCTTCTCATCTCTCTTAATATCCTCTCTCTCTCTCCTCTTCTCTTTATCTATCTATTGGTTAGGAATCTAATGTGAGACATATTCACTACATAAGTAGATTGTAAGGTTTTCCTTTGTTCTTCTATCTGTTTCCCATTGGAAACAAGCGTTATCATTATTTCTTATCAATATCCCGTCGACCTCTTCCTCCTGCTTCTCCTTTGCTTACAAGACCCCATATCAGGCGAAAGAACAGTTTGTTTTTGCTCAACTTGCACAATAATTTGGCTGCAAGGATATGATTAAAATTTTGTTTTTAACCAATAAGCTTTTCCCATTCTCTCTAACGCTTTGGGTGATCCTTTTTTGCTCAAATTTCTTAGCTTGTTGGATGACTTTTTCTTCTGGCTCATTCATATTGTCATGTCATCGTCTGTGAGATGATCATCCATTTGTCGTTTCAAAAATTGAAAATTCACATGTCGTCTTCTGTTCTTTGTAAACTCAATGCCAACCTAAGCTGATCGAGATGATTGATAAAGTGACAGGAACTATCAGTTAGTGAGAAATGAGGTTTCGATGGCACAGCAAGATCTTCAAAACATTGTCTTTGATTTATTACAAGTGCTTGACTTATTAGGATAATTGTGTGTATGTCGTCTTCGTCCACATCGTACTCTATCAGCCTTGCCTAAAAAACAATTTCTTGACCAGACACATGTCATCGTATGATGACAACTGTCTTAATACTTCCCAATTGACATTAGCATTAATCTTCCTAAACACACATTTATCTTTTATTTTTATTTGATTTTTCTTTGGACTCGTTCCGTTTTTCTAATTTTTGCAATCATTTCAGTGTTCAAAATGCTCCAAATAGCTATCTTGTTGAGTACTGTTATGGCTGCCTATTCAGCTACTTATGGAGATCGATATGTCAAAGACTATCGGGATTATGCCATTGATGATACACAGAACTTGTATCCTTCAAGACCAGGTTAGACAAGTTTATGTTTTCATAGATGCTCGTCTTCGTATTCGAAGAGAGCTCTCTTCCCTATCTTTAATAAGCTTCAAATAACGATGAGATCTTGTAAACTGAGAAGAAGGTTTAATAACTTGTTGATCAAATTATTAGACAAAGCATTTGTATAGTTATGTATCATATGTCAAACGTTTCTTTCTCTCTCTCTTTCTGAAGCAATCGTTTATCCAATCCTACCCAACCCTTCTCGCATCTGAAGTTTAAGAAAACAGCTATTGTCAGCTGGCACTGCCTTATTCGTCAACTTCTTATAATCTTTCTTGTTTTCAGTTACTCACACATTCCCTAATAGAACTCAATGCTTCGAGCTCTGTGAACTTCCATGCAGTGTTACACATGTGTACATGGGACTTCAGAATATTGAAATGTTCAATTGCGCCAAGCTTCGTCCACCTAAGGTACTTTCGTTTCATATGCTATCGGTTAACGAATACTTGTGTTTACAGATCAGTGTACTAGGATCGATCAGAGGAAACTCTTTTTACATGACTCTTGTAGTGCTTGGATGTATTACAGGTAAAGATTCCCATTTGTCAAATTGAAATGACCAAAGCAATTTTTCAGTTGGAGTCGTGACACTCTTGACCATTTGTTTTTGCTGTTCCTACTGCTGCAGACCTTCTGCTTCCAGTAGAGGCTCTTCCAAAGATGCTTTAGCCCGAAACGAAAGTGAATTCAGGTTAGTCTCTCAATCTAATAAAAACAAAACGTCAACATCCATCTTTGCAGGGAATACCTAACTGATACTGACAGCATGATGCTACGAGCAGAGCGCGATCATGCACGTAAATCAAAATCAGCTTCAGGATTCCATGTATAGAATAGAATTTGCTTAGCTTTTATCATCAATTTTCACGGGTTGTTTTTTTGTCTTTTCCTCCTGACACCTCACAAAAGACCATCTCCATATGCTAATTTTAGATTGAAAAAATCCTTTTATGGGTACTTGTAAATCAGTTGTCTTTGAACTCATTCTATTTTTAAGAACATCTTCTTCTCCTGCCTCATACATCTTCAAGAAACTTAATATTAAAAAAAACGAAAATTTGTTATCTTTTTACATAAGCGTATTGTCCTTTGAGAGTTTATTAATAAATTATATTATGTGATTAAGCATCTATTTCTGTATATATAATATTGATGTTGTAACATTGGTTATTTTAGTAACCGATATGGATATTTTTTGTTTTTGTATCTTGATGATAATAAGAAATTTAAAAATAACCGCTTCTTCTTTGAGACTGTGAATTGAGCTATCATATGATATGCCCAACGTAAGAAGAGTTCCTTTGGCGGCATCTATAAGTACGCCTGCTCTTACGCACATGAATGCAACCGCTCTTCCCGAAATTCCCAAGATAAATGGGTTTTGCCACGCACCTTGCGTTGTTCTGAAAGTTGTCCTTAATACTTTCATGTATTTTCTGTTACAGTTTTTGACGTATCAATGAGAGAGTTTCTCACAACACAACGAATATGATGGTCAAACTACACATGCTGACAAAAAAACCAAACAAGTTGACATACAAGGTGATCTAAAGGAAGTTTGGCATTTTACCTCTTTGCGTGTAATGTCAAGCAAAACACCGAGAGATCCTCGATTAAGGAAACGTAATAAATGGATGATCTGTATTTGTATCGAAACAAACTTGCTCCAAGTGTTTTGGAACTCAAAGGAATATGCAGTTGGAGAGTTCTTCGAACGCTTGGATCAGGATGATAAGAAATGGACTTATCTGGTATGTTATGTTCATATCTTTCCACAGTTATGACATTTTGAATTTAGTGTCTCTCCTTTCATAAAGCCTATTCGTCAGCTCGTTCCATTGCAGAGGAGCTGGAACGGTCAAGTTGCATAGACGATAGTTTTGCTCAAGGTATGAGTTTTGGTTCCAAATAATGAAAGTATCCCTTTATAGAGAGTTTTTGTCCAAGGAAATTAAGAGATGATTTCATATTGCTGAAAGATATCATCCGATTAATCTATTTACGAATGGAAAATGCCAAACACATCACACCGCCAGCTGCAGAAGTTCAGACACTTCCAACGGTTCAGACAGTTCAAGCAGTTCAAACAGTTTCAGCGGTTCAAACAGTTCCAACGGTTCAAACAGTTCCAACGGTTCAAACAGTTTCGGCGGTTCGAACAGTTCCGAAGCCGCTCCAAGTAAATAAATGTTGTTTTTCTTGGGTACAAGCTGATTTTTTTTCAGAAACCATATCCTCGAGCCGAATCTCCGCTCAGTAAGTGTATCTGCGTTTGATCTCTTCTAACTATTTGATTACAGATGGAAGAAGTCTCATAGATGAATCACAAGTAACAGTACAGGTCTTTGTTGTATAACTAAAGCCTCTCGCTTACAGCTGGAAGTTATCAAAGACTGTTTAAAGTTCGTGCCTGATGGGGATAAACACTTGAGCAACTTCATGAAGAAGAAGAAGCTCACGAAGACAGCCATTCCAACTAAGAAGTTTTGTTCTCGAAATACTCCAGACTCAGAGTATCTATACGACTTCTAAACGCATCGTGGGAATACCACGAAATTGTATTAAGTAGTAGTCAGGAATTGTGATATTTTCTTTGAATTGATCAGAGGATCAGAAGTTACAAGTAAAATTATTTTTTTTCTGGTTTTTGTTGATTTTTTCAAAATCTTGATCAGAGCATTTTTTTCACAAGCAATGTCATACTCATCCAGTATTCCCCCGAGGAGTAGCTGTCAGATAGGGTATGATCTCTTCATAAACTCTACAAGTGGTAAAGCGAATGATAAGAATCATTCAAACGCCTGCTACCCTTTATCAATGAGAATTCTTCGTTAATCAAGTAGTTTCTCGATCGTTACAAATTCAACTGCCTGTTACAGAAATCTCGATTATGCATATCTGTTTGATTATCACTCTCGTCGTTCTCCTAATCATCATTGGCTTTCTAATTGGGTTCTGTTGCCTAGTAAAGAACGCAGAAAGAAAGAATAGGAGAAGGAGAGCTGCCGATGTCTTGGTTAAAGAGCAAAGCGTTTGATACTCATCATTATCTACGAATAAAGATTAATCCGCTTACCAAGTTTATTCTTTTTCAAAGCCCACAAGTCAAGGTCATTTGAAGACTAGAGTACTCATTAGGAATGTATAAAGTAAAAAGGTGGAATATTAAAAGAACTGAAGTAGCTTGTCCGCCATTACGGCACCGTCTCGAATAACAAAAGCATGTTCACACTCTTTGTCATCAATGACTACGTGTCCTTTCGGCATCCTGGACTCCATTTCGGTTCCTGTAAATTCAACTCGTTACTGCATGAGTTACTCAACATACCCATCGACAAAGGACACCATCCGTCAGTCGTTCCGTAGTAGAAATAAATCATGCTTGGGTTCGATATCAACTGTTCATCTAACGCACAAACCTGCAAACGAAAGACTTGATGGATAGCGGGAAAAAGAACCTACCTTCTCCAACTCATCACTAGACATATGTACTATATTACGGAATACATGCATATGAAGAAGCTCTGCGGCAGAAGATACAACCTCTGCAGGAGCCTGAAAACAAACATTCACATCTGCACTAATTGATGGAAGAAAGTACTGCATCTCCTAAATTGAAGCTAACTAGCCATTTCTTTAGAGAAACGGGAAGACAATCGAGCCAGAAAGTGAGGGATTTTGTGAGCCAATCATTCATATCCAGAGCCTACTCAAGTAAAGCATCGAAAACAAAAATATTCAGTTACTCTTACAGATAGTAGTCTCTTCAAGCGAAGTCCATTAGGAGTCTCCGCCATTTTTTCAATTGTAGGGAAGAGAGCGATAGCCTTCCGAATGTTATAATCATCTTTTATGTAAGGAAGTATTCTGAGACGTTTACGAAATGAAGAAGAAGCAGAGAGCCATTCTCACCTCAACATCATGTAAGAGCCAATACTGTGACCCAACACATAAATCTTATTGCCCTTGGGGAGATACTCTTTGACGAAATCAAGCTTATGCTGAACTTGCACATCGAGTAGAAAACGATCTTAATGTGGTCATGTGTTTGAAATATGGCAAAAAAACGAACCGTTATACTTAGGCTCAGCACAAGACCTGAGCTCGTTCGGTAGAACGACATGATTTAGGTGAGAGACAGTGTAGAACAAAAATTGTGACTTCTTATCTCCTATTCTTTCAGCTCTAGCAAGTAAGCTACGTAGAAGTCGCTTTCCAAAATCGGCATAAAAACCTTCATTACCAGGATTGCCTGATATGGTAATGAATGGATCACCTTATACATCTCTCAATGTACCTGGGATCATGAGTATAACCACACGATTATCTTCCTCTCCTTTACTGTCTAAATTTAAAGCTTCTTTGGACAAGTCAGTCCCCATGACTGAGAACCTAGTCCATCTACCTCCTACGGTGACCCAGTCAACATGTCGAGCAATTTCTCGAAGCATTCTGAACAGTGTTGTAGTTGAGCTTCACGAATACGATAGTGATACAATAGAGAGAGGCACAATCCTTTTCATTTCGAAGTAAGAACAAACTGAACGTGTAAATTTTCATCTTAAAACGAAAAAACGGTACACAGAAAGGATCCATTTTGGTCAACTGTGTCCAATATGCAAATTAATATTAGAACGCAGAAGGCAATAAATAATACAACAGGTCCGAGATAAATATATTACTTGAAGGAAGTAGTATCAAGCATTCCAGCGAGATTCTGGACGATGTTATCACTGAGCATCTTGGAGACCTAAAAGAATATAGTGAACTCCCAGATACCAACAAAATGAGAATTATCCCCTCCCCTATGCGATAAATCTAACCTCCTCTCCTAAATGTCTCTTGGGATCCAACTTTCCAACATTCTTGATAGCCAGTTCTTGGTCTGTCATTTTTTCTTCTTCTTCCAATGCCTGTCAACCAAATTGATTATCTCCTGTTTTTCCGAAAAAACGTACTTTCTTATAATTCTTAGCCAGCTTGAGCATTTGTTGCATGCTATCTTTGTTTTTGTCACAGCATTTGGAGTAGCTTTGGAGTGAGAGGGAGTCCATCCATGATTGCTTGTTGAGGTTAAGGAGCATCTGTAAGAGAAAGCTATCCATCAATTCTATGAAAATATATACCTTCTGCTCGAGATCGTTAGTTTGATATGCAATAGGAATGGAGTAATAATGTCTGTTTAATCCATGAATAAGAGCTTGGATGCTGGGTCTTTGGAGATGTCCAAGATTACTTGTCGTTTGTCTTGGTTCTTGATTCAGCGCAACAGATTGAGGATTGATAGTTCTGAAGGCGTCGATAACGACCTGAAATCCATAAATATGTGATTGGATAAAAAAACCAAAATAATATGAAGGACATTAATTCCCTCAACGTCAAATGTCAAGGAATCACAATTCTCAAGAGATGTAAGGAAGAAAATATAAGAACAGCTATTTCACAAAGATAAAGATTTGAGTGCTCAAACATCAGAAAAGCGACACACAAATCATGATCTCTACCAAAGAAAATCATTTTTGAGCAACGTTGAGAAATGGGTTCTTCAACTGCTCCAATCACAGATGCTCAGACTCCCTGTCTATTTTTTCTCACAACTCTTTCATAATAAGTTGAACGTAAACGATCACCAACCTTTCCTTTTACAGACTGGATTGGGTCAACGACGACAGCAACAGCTCGGTCAGAAAGAGCTTCGAATGATTGCTGAGTATTAATATCGACTCCAGAGAGCCAGCAACCAAAACCAGGGTGAGAGTGATACCTAGAAAACAAAACTCTTTGTACTGTATGATAAGACGGATCAAACCATCCGACAACCATTTCAGGTCTTCCAGTTTGTTTTAACATGTCCAACATTTTGGCTTGGAAGACAGGGTCGACAGCCTCGACTGATACTCCCTGAATTCGAGACAATAAAACTAAAATGTCAAAGAATACTTACGGTTCCGGATTGTGGCATAGCAAAAACATCAATAACATTAACTGTATATTCATCAATAAATTCACCCAACATCAAACCCATAACCTGAAGAGTCGCTATTAACAACAGTCTCGGAGAGATACAGTCTTACCTCCATAGGAACACCGGCACGTCCATGCTTAAGCATTTTTAACAGAGCAAGAGAGGAAATATAAACAGTTTCGGAAGTATCGACCTGGTTACTGTCGGTAACAGCTCCGCCGAACTGAAATGGTTAGAGGTTAGATGAAAACTTATGTAAAGCTTCCTCACATGGCTAAGTCCACCAGTAAGACCTCCAAGTCGCAAAAAACGTTCCATAACTATAATAAATTAACTTTTACACCGATACCCTCGTAAGAATAATAATGAAGCAAGACGAAATGATACAAAATAACTTTTAAAGAGCACATGAACGAAGTACCCGAATTTAAATTGTCACCATTTCTTATTGCGCTCCAATGAAAAGAATATACGCAATTGCGTACATTTTCAATTTTTGAACGTGTAAAAAAAAGTTTGGCAGTAACAGCTGCTCCTCCCCTTGGCCAAGCTTCTTATCGAATGACTATAAAATTGCGAATTTTTCAGTCCTGGGTGCACTGTAAGGACAATTAGCAGACCGTTCGGTTTTATAGCAGAAGATTGTTGAATACAGTAGCGATTTTAAAATTTTTCTTTCTGTACATGTATTTAACGATAGTTCTTGTAAGTTGCATTGTCGCCTCCTTTGTTCATAAAAATTGATTCATAACTCTTGTGTTAACTAATATGGTCTAAACAAATTTCATTTTTGTTTCCTTGAGAGCTAAGTATTTTATATTTTCAGTTTGTGTTCCAATGCATTGGAAGTATACAACGTTATTAATTTGTATTTATGGCATAGTAAAGGAATTTCGTCCAGCCACCCCTTTTCTAACTCCTTATTTGGTTACTTACAAAAATGTGACAGCAGAAGAAATTTATGGACAGGTCTACCCATTCTGGACGTATTCGTACATGATTTTCTTGGTAAGAAAATTTTTTTCCTGTTTAAGTTAGTGTGAGTGTACTAAAAGAAAGATTCATGATCACATATCACAGATCACTCCAATACTTCTTTGTATAAACCTTTATTTACGAAATTCGTATCTGCCGGAGATTTTTTTCTGAAGATGATAAATATTAAAACCGTAGATTAATTTCGAAGACGATTAATCCTTTCAACAAGCCGATATGATTCCTTCATTCAGATACCGATCTTCTTCTTAACTGATATACTTCGCTACAAACCAATAATCATATTAGAAGCATCTTGTTTAGTCGGAACATGGGTTTTACTAGTCTGGGGAGAAGGTGTCGCTCAAATGCAGATTATGCAAGCCATTTTCGGTTTGAACAGAAAAGAAATTCTTCCTTAACGCCTTTACCCTTCTAGGACTTTCATCGGCATCCGAAATTGCCTACTACTCGTACATGTATGCAGTGGTGGATGAAAAAAATTACAAAATGGTCACGTCCTATATTAGGGCAGCAGCCATGGTAGGAAAATTGCTGGCTTATGGCTTAGGTCAAATTCTTATCTCTACTCATGCTGGAAGTTATCTACTACTGAATCAAGTAAATCCCTTTCCCCAGAAAAACTGTTTGAATAGCTATACCCTTGTATAGATTTCTCTGGGAGCTGTTTGTCTTGTGTGGTTCATCGCACTTTTCTTGCCTTCCATTAAACCTGAAATAAAGCCTAACGGAAGTTCAAACAATTTGGCAGCTTCCGAGAACGAGCCGAATGAAGCTGACATCACGTATGCTTTGGTAAAGTTGAATCGCATATAAGAAAGATTTAGACGTGGCCAAGTTGAAAGAAGGAAACTTCAGAATGGGCTCCGAGTCTATTTCATTAACACACTTCGCAACTTCAGCATTTATAAGAAAAACAAAGTAGTCCTCAAATGGTCGATTTGGTGGGCTCTAACGAGTTGTGGAATCTATCAGGTGGTCCCCTTCTGCACTTTAATTATATAAAAGAGCTTTTCAGGTTTATAACTATATGCAAACGCTATGGTTAGAGATGCAGTCTGATCCATCCGATGTAAACAATGGAATCGCTGAGTTCGCTCACACTGCTTTAGGTACATTCTACTGAATAGTTTCTTTGATCTTTTTTTCATATGTCAGGAGCCGTATTATCCTTTGTGATTCAATATTTGTCCATCAATTGGAAGCGTTATGGAGAAGTGACACTATGTGTTTCATCGTTCCTGATCGCAGGAATATTGGCATACTTGTCGCAAACTTCTCATATCGTGATAGGATATGTGGGATATGTAATTTGTACTGGAATATATAATATGCTCATAACGGCTGCCAGGTTTGTGAAATCGACTGATGTCTTCATAAACTGAATGTTTTCTTTTCTAAGTGCTAACATAGCTACTGAATTGACAAATGCCAATTATGGACTTGTGTTTGGTTGGAATACCTTTGTGGCTGTTTTGCTTCAAACCATTCTGACTATAACTGTGGCAGATTCTCATGGATTCAATTTACCTATTAGGGAACAGGTAAATTGATACGTCGCATTGATGATGATGGAACGCTCCATATATTTTCAGTTCGAAGTTTACTCAGGTTTCTTTGCCTGTGTAGGAGTCGTGTTTTTGGTTTTTGTCATGATCAGATGGGTTTCTGTTTGTTTCTGCACAAGACGAAGATCTCTTTCAGTTGAATAATCATGATGTTTGATACTAACCACTGATTGAATAGCTTTTATTATTCTTTTAGTTTGATTAGATTTTCATATTTTGTTGTTCTGATTCTTTCTGGAGTAGTTGTTATGTTAGAATCCAGAAAGGAAAGTCACAAATCAGGTTACTCGATATCACTTAACCATATCATTGCTACAGTATTAATGTTTTCTTAGGACTATATGATAGGAGAAGATAACATCTAGATAAACCTTTTTAATAATAGTCAAATTACAATCCTATATCTCTTTCTTTTCATTTCTCTTTGTGCTACTGCGACTAACTCTCAAACATCAGCCTGTTTATCATTAGCATATGAGAGGGGGAGGGGGCTCATTCGTTTCACATATAATCCGGTAAACGCAATTACTTTGAAATATCCGAGTTGTGTGATCCGGCTGTGCTTTGCTGCCACCTTTTCCTATTTCTCAGATCACAAGTGAAGCAGATTAAAAGTTAAATGAAATACGGAAAGTTTTTTGATGTTTAGTCATTTGAAACAGAAAAAAAAGGTTCAGTACCTACAAAATTTTTGATGAAAAATTAATTTGATTTCTTATGAAGACTTACTTCGTTGCTTATATCTATGGCAGAGAGACGAAAACATTTGTAACAATTAGAAGTCATATTGAATTAAGAGAGAGAAGAAATTGAATTGTTTTTTTCTTGTCTCCCCAAACGACTTCGTTAAAATGACAAAACTATTTTCACGAACAGTCTTTCCCTCTCTCTTTTCTACATGAAGAGTTCGAAGAGAATTCGAAAATATCAGCTTCTTCTAGCTCCCAAGCATTCTGAAACATCTGAACAGAAGAAAAGATGCCTTCAAGTGCCTGATAACTCGAACTGACATTTGGATAACCCTACAAAAGAAAGGCAAATTATGAAACTGTTTCAGAAATAAAAAATTACCAAAAGAATGTATCGTTCAAATTTGCGCGGAATAGAATTCTTCTCTATGAGTGAACTTCTTTTCTTTTCCTCACTCTGACCGAGCACAGTCACATATTTGCCCTAGTTGAACTAAACGAACGCGTTTTGTTTCAGCTTTGCTCAGCAAATTTTGCATACCATTTTTGCTTGTTTGTGAAAAGCAATTAATTCATTGTTTTTCAGATTCGTCTCTCTAAATGGTTCAGTTCATCCAAATCAAGATGCATGGGAAGCAAGGGAACGTGGCGTTTTCTGAAAATTTCATCACCGAAAGCTCTATCAAACACGCTTTTCTTCTTCCGCCAGATGCAATTGTGAAGTTGTCGTATGAGTCCAATGGCATGCAGATTAATAGCGGGTAAGTTACATTTTGTGTTACTCTGGTCTATATTTCAATTAATGTAGGACTCCAATTACTGCAGAGCATTGCTTTTTGCTTCCCGATGGCTGGTCGACCATGGTGTTTTTCGCCGAATCAGACAGATCACCATCTCGAGGAGCGAAGCCGAAGGATATCTGTGAGTTTAACATTATACTGTATTTCCTCTAATAATATAATCTTTTCATTATTATATTTTAGCTCAGAGCAGCGATCCGCTTTATGTTCCAATAGGTATGCACTTTTAATGATTTTATTTGTTTAGAATCAAACGTCAGTGACCATTTGCAGTCAAGCAGGACAAGAATTTCAAACACAACTGATTATGCGTAATGCCGGCATGGACTTTGTTGTAGTGCGTTCCGAAGTTTCACTTGTTGTTCCACAAGGCATCTTTTCTTCTGTTCAACTCGATAGTAAGGGCCGCATGCGTTTTTCAATTGGAAGTCAACGAGGATACAGCGGCTGACCTATCTTCAACTGCAAAGGAGAGTTGCTTGGCATCAATGTTGCAAATGAATCGTCAAGAAAATTTATTGGACTAAGCGGTCGAACTACAATGGAGGAGCTTTTCAATGAGGTGAATGCTGCTTTCCCGTCTCTTTCAGTCATTGTGCCGGTCTACTGTTTAGCTATGGGAATTTGTGAAAGTCTCAATTATCAGCAATAAATTTGTGACACACTCAGATGTACAAAGAAGAAATGTTGGCACTCGATGACTGATTTTTTATTTTTATCTTTTAAATATTTTTGAAGTTCTATCGGTGGATCAAGTCCGAAGGAATCGAAGTAATAAATTTTTTTCTCATTTCTAGAATAACAAACCCAATGAGTACCTTTACCACTAGAAGAGTCTAAATTAACTTTTCCTACTTCCTTTTCTTCAATTCCTTGTGGTGGTAAACTGTCTCGCATGAAGATACCTCTAAAATATTTGATTTCCAATACATCGACTAAAGCAAGGAGATCTAGATTTGTTAGCGCAGGCAGATCTTTCTCTGGTTTCAGAACGGCAGAATACATATTATTAATGTACTATAAGTATTTTTAGACAATCTACTTATTCTCACTGGATGAAAAGCAACAACAGATTCAAGTGACTATAGAACTGTGGAAAACGGTATCAAGCCTGCTTCCCACAAAGGACACAGAAATCAAGTGAAATTTCAAATTAAATTTGAATATTCCGTTGCCAAGTACTTTGTAAATTAGTTTAAATTGAATGCTACAAGTGGCTGAAAAGAAATGTGAGATTGACTAGAGAAGAGGAGAGGAGAAAAAAAAAGAAGCAAAATTGGGTGTAGAAAGACAGAAAGAAGAAAAAAAGAAAAGCGGATGATGTAATTAGAAAGTAATGGCGTTTTCTGTTGTGCAACTTGTCAGATCTCCACTTGCCATCTAGCTTTCTGTCATTTTCTTCGTTTCAGAAGCGTGAAAATCCAGAGAAGGAAAGGCTGCATATGTAGAGAGAAGAGCATAAACCCTTTTACCAATTCTTTTAAAGCAAATATGGCTATGCAAATTAGTTTATGAACATGAAAATAATGTTTTTCCTTATGCATATACTCTACTCTCTAAATGGCTTATATTCATTATGAACTTATCAATTATTTCACATGAAGTTCCATCGTCCCTTAATGGAAGCAATTTTCTCTCATTTCTGCTTTGAAAGAATGTTCAGCTTTAAGCTCTCACGTGAGCTCTACGTCTAGTTTCATTTTCAATGCAATGAACGCCAGGAGCGGTTGTGTCGTTCTTATTTCGCTGTGTGTCACAGAAAAGTCGAGCTTGAATATAACATTTTTCACCTTTCTAACAACTACACAACGCTTTTGTGAACTTTCTCTTTCTGAGCACTTCTGAAATGCTGCTGCTGTTCCATAATCTGTCAGCTTCTCCTCTTTGTACTCCCATTCCCATATAATCCATAGAATTCTTATTTCTATCCTCAGACATATCCCCCCCCCTCCCTTCTCATTTTTTTTGTTCTCGTGCCTCTTAACTTACCTCTCAGTCATAAGCCATTTATATATTTCTTTCTTTCGAGTCCTTTTTTCTCCTGCTTTTCAATGAGGCTAACAAACTATCGGCAATATAGTGAAATGAGTATGATGACATGTCATTTCCATACGAAGCTTCCATTTCAACTCTATATTATTTCAACAATTGATGACAGCACTATCTGAAACACTTCTCCTTCTCTACTTCTCTCCCTCTCTCTCTCTTCATCTCCTTTCTCTCTTTCTTTGCATATTTTTTTTGTGCTCAACGAACAAAAACAGATAATTTTTCCAAGAACTCTCTGGTGACCCAAAAGCCTTTTTTCGAAACTCTTGTTTTCTTTTTTTTTCTCTTTTTCTGAGTATTTGTTTTCTACATCCATCTACTCACTCTCTCTCTACCTCATTCGCTTTCATTCTTATGCTGAAACATATTTTTTTCAGCAAAATTTTCAAATCATTCTTCTAATTTTGTGTTTCAACACATTCACTCATATGTATGTTTTTAGATGTGGACAGCCTTGCTGTTGCCTAGTTGTTTTGCATCAGAAGACATGTGTTTTCGTTTTGCTGTTTCCGCCCTACTAAACTACGTGTTCATTTCTTCGTTTTTGAAGATATCTTTCGGCTAACCCTATCACACATCCTCTCTCTCATCCGAGAGGATTCTTATGTCGCATCCCTCATCTGCCTCTCATGCTCTTCAAGCTTTCACATATTGTGTCTAAAGTATGCTAATTCCACGTGAACACGTTAAATTCAAATATGCCTCGTCATTTGCGTGTAAGCTGTAGAGAGAGAAAGAGAGAGAGAGATAGAGATAGAGAGAGAGAGGGGACTAACGCGGTTGCACTAACAGGCAAATATCTTTTTTTTTCCGAAAGAATAGATTATAGACCTTATAGAGAAGTGTGATCATTGGAAATCTCTAATTATAGCCGCATAGTATAGAAGACTATGTGGAAGAGATCCTTTTTTGGTTCTCAATTTTTGATGGAAAACACAAGACGACAACACAACAAAATCATTAAATTTGATCATTTTCATGTGTATTCTGCAAGAAAAATTTCTTTTTTTTTATTTTTTTTTTCATTTTTTTCGCGGATAATGAGTTATAGAACTAATGGTGATGGTTGTTTTTCTTTTTTTCTTCCATACGAACTATAAAAGATTAGAATATATTATTATATGATATCATATTCTATTTATAAGACACTAGACCATGTCCATACATGTACATATATCTAACTGATCCACCTGTTCCTTCTCTCTTTTCCTTCCTTTAGCTCTTTCATCCTCTTCCCCCTTCTACGTCTTCTCTCCTCCCATTTCCTACTGCCTATCCTCCTTCCCTTCTCTGTCTCTCATCATCCTTTTACTGCTATTGTTTGTAATGAACATCGAATTTTGTTTCACTGATATGACAGATTTGGGCTTCTTCTCTTTCTTTTAGCTCAACTGCCTGCTTCATTTCATCCAATACAGAAAATGAGGAAAAGCTATCGAAAAGCTCAGTAATTTGGTTTAGTTGAAGATGAATATAGTGGAGAGGAGAAAGAAAATTAGAACAGAAAACTGAAGCTTTGTCTCTGAATGAACGTTCAAAATCAGACATTCTGTTGCTCTTCTCTCTCTATCTCTTCGACATGTTCCAAGCTTTTCCTTATTTATTTTAAAAGCGTGCACGTTTCATGGTTACGTTGTGGGTTGTCTTGCTGCAAGTGCCTGTTTCTGAAGATAAAACTTCATTTTTCACCTTCGACCGAATTTACTTCCGTCTTCTCGCATTGCAGTTTTAGGAAGAGAAGCAGAATATCTGTAGATGACGTCATCGAGTGATTCATAATGCTAAAGCTTTTCAAAGAGCTAGTTAGAGATTAGAAATGTTGGAAAATTGCATTTGAGAACAAAAGAATCGCTTGTCATTCACCTACAGCTTATTACAAGTTTTAAGAGTAAGGAGAGAAACGAGACAGCGAACTTGAGAGAGAAAAATGAGAAATGAAGTGGGCGTTTCGTCATAAAAATTATTTTGTTATAACGAAAAGAAGAAAAAAGACTCATAGACTTTCGAGAAACTATCATATTCCCGTGTAGCTTCTACTAACCAGTCCTAACTCAACTGTACTTTGACGATACATAAAGTTGAAGGAAAAACATAAGTGAGCAATTGTCGTTGATTTTCTCTCCCAAGCACCTTCGTATATTCGTTCGCTCTGTCTCTATCGTTGTCCCTCCCCATCCCGTCCTATTATATTGGCTATTCTCTGTCCGCCCCCAACTTCCTTTTATTTCGTGGCATTTTTTTTTCATATTCAGTTCGCATATCAGCTTTCCAACAAAAAAAAAGTTATTTACATCAAAACTTGTAATCATACAGAGAAAGGACATATCGTCAACGAACGGATGAGAACAGAAGCCGTGTTGTACTCATGATGATCTAGAGGCTTTCACTCACCCTTCTGAGACATAAATTCTAATTAAGAAAGCAAGACAAGCTCTCATATTTTCAACTCTCTGATCGCCATTTTTTCTCCTCTCTCTCTCTCTCTCTCTCCCTCCTTCTCTTCCAACTTTTTTTTTGCTGTCTCCCTTAACGTAAGTCAAATAAAAGCAAACGCCCACACCAATTTCATATTTCTGAACGAAGCTGGCCCTGTGTGCCAATGAATGAGTTTACACCGACAGAGAAATTATGTATAAAAGTTAATGTTTAAAACATCTGAAAGAATTTGCATATTTCCATCTTCGACGTATCCGCTATATTGAGATGTATGTATATGTATTCTAACCTTTTATACGCTTCAAACTATGCATATGATTATTACGAGTCTTACATATGTTTATTCCTCCCGATAAGCCGTTCTCTTCAGCTTCAACAAAATCTCCTTTTTTTTCCTTTTCGTCCTCTCACAAAAATAATTTTGATGGCGACGGAAGGACATTCTGTTAAACTTTTCAAATATTCCTACTATTCTGGCTGTTGTCCTCATTCACATTTTTGATAGATATATATATATATGTATAAGAATATATATTCTGAAAAGTAGTTAATTCAGTTTTATCTTAGCCAATATACTACTTCACGTGGCTCACGTGGAGCTCCACGTGACGCAATTGAGAGGTAAAAGCTCATTTTGAATTTTATTTAGACGTGGATCGGTTGCGTGGCTTTCAGTTTCTTTCCCTCTAATTAACTTTTTTTTTCTTAAACTTTCGTCTTTCTCTCTCTATCTCATTCTGTCTCCCTCTGAACATTGCACATTCCAGAATCTGCACCCTTATCCCTATCTGGGTGTTAAAGAGACGGTTTGTTTTGTTTTCAAGAAGAATAAATGATTTTTTGTCGTTGTTAAACCATCCGTCGATTCATGATCGTCTCATTGGTTTATATCATCACGAGATTCTATGGTGAATCCTTATTAGTCTTCTCATTAATATTAGACGTGCCTCCGTGAGAGGAAGTTTCTGTTCATCTTTCATTTGAAATCCATATGAACAGTGTTTTTTCATTTTCAGCCTCACGTCTTGTTGTCAAACCTCTTCTCCTTATATTTCAGGAAAGAAGAATGAAAAAAGTTCTTTATTTCGTTCATTTTTGAGTTCTGCTTTGTCTTAATTGATTCCAACAAAAGGATTCTCCATTATAATTTGCGATGAAAAGAAAAAAAACAAGAATATTATGGGGTTTGTAAAAGGGAATGATGAAGATCATTCCTTCTTCTAGGAATTCGATATTGGGAGAGATTGGATGAATTCTATACATTGTCCTCTTTTGTTTTTAAGGTTCGTCCTTATAAAGGGTGGAGGAGAAAAAAAAAGAGAAGAAAAATTGAAAGAGATTGACAGAGACAAGAAAGATAGTAAGAAAGAGAGAGAGAGAGGAAGAGGGTGAGATAGATAGAGAGAGAGAAATGGAAAAAGGTAAAGATAGTCAGAGAGTAAGATGGCAGAGCAGAAAAAGGAGAAGATTGAAAATAAAAGGAAAGCCATTAAATGAATGTTATGATTGATTTGAGCTTT